GTTTGTGCCTTTCCCGACCCCCCGCTCCGCCTCACCCAGCCTTCTGAACGCCCAGATATCTGAAGAGACCAGGGTTTAGGTGAGATTTGAGTGTCGTTGGGGTGAAGGTCTCCGAAAATAAGTAGAATTCGGGATGCGCGTCTAAAAATAAGGCGCAAAGAACTAGCAAACAGTTCATTTTCCTGTGTATGTAATGAAAAACAAAATGCACTTTCGTGTTCGCATGCTGTCATGTCTAAAGTTTTCAGTCTTTTGTATAATATATACAAACTGCTAAGGAAGCAGTTATTAGCTGCCATCTTTTAAATGTTAATGACTGAAGCACAGAATAATTTATTTCCCGTCTGACATGTAAACACACTTAGAGAGTGTGGAAAAAAGGTGGGGGGTTCTTCTGTAAGTTCCACAATATGTCTTATGATTTCTCTGGACTGGAGTTGCTCATAAATTGTTGGAGGTGAGTCAGCTTTGATAGTGTCTCTTTTTTTAGCGTAGCTATGTTATACCAGTACCTGAAAATGCATCAGTAAACAGTTGACGCGTACTGTAGTTGCTCTACATGACTGTATGTAAAGCTACAGTGGTAAAAGCCCGATTTGTGACTCTACAAAAAGTTGGATGTTTTTGAGATGTGGAGCCAACCTCATCTGTTGTATTTGGGTGTTGGTGTTTGCTAAGTGGGTGTTGCTTGATTCCTGTTCAGATCAAAACAGGATATTCAGTCTTTTTCATTGTATTTGCTTACACAGATTACATGAACCAGTGACTTTTTTCAGGGTGAGGAACTAAGTAATTTTTCAGCATTGCAGTCAGATGTGGGTTTTATGGTTTTATAATCTTAGAAGGACTGATCTAACAATTTTGCAATTTAAGATGGAGAGAAGAATTTAAAGCTCTGGAAAAGTATAACCAAATAAACACAAGTAAATGCAGTTTATTTAGCAAATATATAACAACTTTCATACCCCCAAAATCTATGTAAATTTTTTCATGTCAGGTTTTTTTTTCTTTTCACTTGCCTCTTTCCTACCATAAGTTATATTTTTGCTTAGCCTTATGCTACTTGTACCTCATACTGAAAAAGCAGACTGGATGCTGTTAGCTCTGATTCACTTAATTAAATATAAACTCCTTTGCATGCTGTGATTGTCAGGAACAGTGACGAGAGAACAGCCCAACAGATCTTGTATCTGCTCTAATTAGAGTGGTTTGACTAAACCAACAGGATAAAAAAAGTTATTTTTGCTGTTAGAAAAGGAGCTATAAATACTATATTTTCCCTAGTTTTCCAAGCCCTGTTCGGATCAGTCTGACTTCAAGTCCTTGCCTCAACCTTTCTGTAGTTAGACCCTTTGAAAGCAAGGGTGCACATGAGCTTTTAAATCCATCTAAAACCTAAAGCCAAGCGTGTTGGGTGTCCGAGTGGTCGTGTTGGCGTGCGGCCTGACTGTCACGGAGGGAGAAGCAGCAC